ATAGAAAGCGTAAAAAGTCTCCGTGTTCTGGATCAATCTCAATATTCAAAAATGCTTTCTCAATATCAGCAGTTACAGCAACTTCATGAACTCTAAATCTCAGCAAAATGTCCAGTAGAAGAGGATTTAATGAAGGTCCGACATGCAGACAGTCATTTAAGCTTGGTCCAAACACCTTGGATGAGGCATCGAATACAACTCTAACTTTTGTTGTATCTCTTTTAAGTCTCACAACTCCCCTTTGTGAGAGATAGTGCACATTTCCAGGTTCTAGGACTTGATCTTGCCGCACTTCTTCAACTACTCCACTTTCTAATTGCTCCTTAATCACTTGATCATATTGTTCCAGTATTTCTGGTTGGGTCTTAAGCTTCTTAATCACAGTTGCCAACCTTCGTGATGCATTTGTATAATTATCTGACAGCATAGGGTGATTATCCTTGAATGGTAGCTTGACTTGGTATCTTTCACCAGTGAATCTTATCTCATTTGAAAACTTGTCATGAACTGAAGTTTCAGTGTCCCTTATGCCTAAGGTTTTCAAGTTTTCCAAAATTTCTGCAAATCATCTTGCACATGGCTGATGTCAGCTGACTCAATGTTCAAAACATGTGTAGCACTTAGGTTAACTGTGCATGACTCTGTCAATGCTGGAACTGCAGCTGGTCCTGACAGTACCCATCCCAACTTGGTCTCAAGAGCCACGGGTCCAGAAGGATCTCCCTTGATTATTCCTCCAGTAAAGAAAGACCAGTAGTGATCTGCTCCTATTAGTAAGTCAACACTAACTGTTCCATTAACAGCTCCACATGCAAGCTGTAGCCCTTGAAGGTATGGATAGCATTCTACTGCACCTAGAATTTCTTGGTTTGATACTGGACTGCATATTACTGGTGCAACGTAAGCCGTGACATACACACTCATTGCATCTATTGTTCTGATGCACAATTGCACAATGTCACATTCCTTTACAGATGCTGAATTGTCACCAAATGTCTTGATTAGCAAGGTTTGCTTACCAACAGTAGGTAATTTTAACTGCTCACGTGTCTTGCAGGTTATATAAGATCTCTGGCTACAGGAGTCAAAAATGACTTGAGTATACATTCCAGTTTCTTGATTATCTGGCCCCGGTTGTTCAAACGTTGGATAGCGCTATCCACCGGATAAATCACTATCCAGCGGATACGTAATTACGGAAATCAATTACGCTATCCGCTGGATAGTGATTTATCCGGTGGATAGCGCTATCCAACGTTTGAACAACCGGGGCCTGGTCTAGAAACAAAGGCTTGGGCAATCTGCAACAGTATAGGGTTTATTATTGCTGCCAACATGCATTGTTGATGTTCGAACATCTCTGGATCTCTCCTGGAAAGTTTCAGATCTACTAAGTGATGCTAATTCAGCTCCTGAACTACTAGGTTGGACAGGCTTCTTAGGGTTTTCACAGATAGTCACATGATGTCTAGCTCCACAATTAAAACATTTGGCCTTTGACTGACAACCTGGTGTAATATGCCCTGCTTTCAAGCAAACAAAACACCTGCCACTTCGTCTCAGTATAGTTCTTCTGGCCTTTGGTTCAGTAATGGTACTACAGGTGATGGACTTGTGATTTTTGTTGCAAAAGACACATTGCAGAGTACACTCTTCACTGCCCGCATAAAGTGCAGATGAGGAAAGGGGCTGTTTGAATCTTCCCTTATGCTGGTCAAATCTAGGGTTAGAATTGGTTGGACTACTTGTTTTCACTACATTACACCTTTCTCTTGCCTCCAACGCAGATTTCAATGCATTTAACAGGACATCAAGGTCCCAAGTTTCTTTACTGCCAAACTTGCGACTGATGATTAATCTCAACTCAGAAGGAACTTTCTCCATTACAACTGGAACTAATAAATTTCGAAAGGACTCTGATCCGACAGCTAGTGCCTTCAAACTTCGAATGTTTATCTCAATCTTGTCACGAAGTTTCTTCGTTTCACGCACTGAACTGACTACTGGCAATTTCAACAAAGCGTCCATGTGGTTAGAAATCAACAGCTGTGGTTTACCAAATCTATCTCTAAGTATATCAATGGCAGTTTCGTAATTATCTTCAGTGAGAGGCAACCCAGTAATTGCAGATTCGGCTGCGCCTGTCACACGACTCTTCAAATAGGTGAATTTTTGGATTCTTGAAATGTCAGTGTTTCTGTTAACCGCAGATTCGAAAGTGTCCCAGAAACTCTGCCATTCCTCGTAGTTGCCTGAAAATGACTTTAGTTCTAGTTTAGGTAGCTTCACTTTCGCGCCCTCATTGCTTTTGACATTGTTATTAATTTGACTGAAGCTTGGTGAAGTTCCCACGTGTGCGCTATTTTTAGCATCCTCTAGACTCAAGTCAATTCTAGCCAAAATACGGTAAACTTTTGCACAAAACTCACCACAATCCTCGACTTCTTTCTCAATGTCTCTCCCCTTACTGTTTTCCAGAATTGTTTCGTCCAGCTTTTGGATAGTTTCTAGCCTTTCATTGAGGGTGAATTTCAGTCCCATAAGTTTTTTCCTTGATGAACCTTCCACGTGATCGGCAGTCTGCTCGACTAAAATCCTCGTCGCACCTTCCATCGTTTTCTCCACAAAAGCTCTGTGAGCATTTTTAATTGTCTTTGCTTTTCCGTTGTCCATTCTTTTCTTCTTGTACTGTAATCCTGTTCTTGACGATTAATTGATTAAACTTGTTTCGCCGATCCGGCGACTGCGAAGGACCATGTAACCAAATGTTGTATATACAATCAGTTCTCTGTAGCTTTTATTCTTCACTCCATTAAAGCATATTTCTTCACATGTTCATATTTTGGAATTCTGTACTCTGTTCTACACTTAAAGGATTCATCGACATCAATTCGCGTAAAACTTGATCAGCTCCACGACTCCGAACGACTACACAGTTCTAACAAAAAGCTCAGTTTTTCAGATCACGTGACGAGTGTTCCCGCCACAATAACGCAATAATTTCTAACAAAAAGAACACATCCAAAATCGCGCTACGCTTACGATCCTCCTCGCGCGACAAAATTATAAACTAGCTTCGCGGAGAGAATTAGCTTTATTTTGTTCAGAACTCACCATGCTGCGCGTCACTTCCATAACAAAGAACTTGAGTTAGGGAAGTGGTCAAAACAAGTACGCTCGACGTGGTTCCACCTTGACCAGCGGTGGTGAGGCTATACGAGACACCACCCATCTTATGAATCTCGGGGACAGAATTTTTAGAGGGAAAATTTGAGATATCAGTTAAATCTTTTGTGTGCATAAAACTTGCATTGTCAAACAAAATGCTCAAGGACATTCTCATTAACTTATTTTTCACATTTTATGATATTAAAAAAGATACCATCTTTCTATAGTGTTGCAGGTAAGAGTAGGCACCATTTTTGTCCGTGGAGGGGCTAGTGGGTTCCGTCTTTGTAAAATAGTTTTGAACATTTAGGAAACGCTGTAGGAGAATTATCAGACGTCATTAAAATTCTCCGGGCAAGGTTTTGCTGTGTACATGTTAAATTAACTTCCCTCCATACTTGAAGTCAATCAAACAAATCCTCTTGTTTTAAAGTTAGCTTTTTACAATAAAGTGAACGCTCCGGCTAAAATTCTATTAAAAAGGACTTTGAAAATATTAACGGGTTACCTCTTACTTTTGCGTCAAAACATTGAACATTATTTCCGGAATTCTGTCTTCAAATGAAGCATCCGACTTTTACTTTTACATGTAACCAATCATTCAAACATATGAAACAAAATTTTTGACTTGAAGGTATCCGTTCAGGCTAAACAATAAATTCGACAGAACAATAAAATATTTTCTAAATGAAGGAACCCTTTGACAGTTGCTTTTATAAATCACGGCAGGTTTTTCCTGTAACAAGGAATTGGCTTATTTGAAGACAGGGATTCGGAATTTTAGAGGAAAAGAGAACGCGGTGTTTGGCGATCAGGCTAATCCAAATAATACATCCTTTATTTTCGGCTAATGAGTTAGCAGTGATGAAGAAATATGTACCATTTATAAGTAACGTATTGAAAAGAAGGAAAAACCCGTCATTTTCGGATATGAAATTGGCGATAAAATGCGTCGGGATTGCGGGATTGAGCGAGATACAGTCTAGACTAGACTAGACTGGCGCTAGCGGTCGTCCTTCTTTCCTTAGGGACGGACCATTAGAAAAGTTGTGCGGGGGGATTTTTGAGCCGCAAGAATTTTTTTCAGTATCAGATTCCTTGTATGAATTTTTTTCGGGCCGTGACATGAATATTTTTTAGGATTAACTGGCGTCCATGAATTTTTTTCATTTAATTTTCCCTTTCGCGAATATTTTTTTTGTACTTCGAAAGCCACCCCTCCCCCCCCCATAAGTTTTCTAATGGTCCGTCCCTTATAGCCACGCGCGGTGAGCGAAAAGGTAAATTTTAAAATGGCACAAAAGGAGGAGAGATTGGGGTGGGAGAGGAAAAAGGACGACCGAGGTTTAATCGTACTTTGAATTACCGTTTCAGGGAAACGAAAATTCCGATTGGTCGCCTACTTGTCAATCTGTCAACAACAAAAACAGCTCAGTCCCAAAGGAGTGCAATTTTCACGGCGGCTTTTTGCAGCACATGGCGAACAGACAAGGTCCGTGAACTGCACTCCAGTTTCCAAACGGTCTTCTGACTATATTCTCAGTCAAAATATGTCCTCTTTTCGCACCGTAGTTTTTTTAGTACGTGAGGATGAAAGGACAATTTACCGTTAGTTTGCCAGGTCTATAATATTGCGAGGCTTCTGAACCCTTTTTGCTTTCTTTCTCCCTTTCTTTAAGAAAGAAACCCTTTTTTCGGGATTTCCAGGATTTATTGCGCCACCATCATTACAATATCTCAAAGATAACTAGAGAACTATGAGATCCTTTTCGAAAACCATATTTTATATGAAAAAGTCATCTCAATAAAGATTATTATTATTGTTATTATTACTTTTATTATTATAATTATAACCAAACAGCAGTGAAAAGACAGTCGAAGACAAGCTGTTTGTTTACAGAGAAAAGCATGCGAAATAAATAAACAGCAAAAATAGGGACCTTAAGCAAGGACGACGACGACGGCAGTGAAAACGTCGGTATAAAATTGAATTTGCGTTCTTTCAATTAATCGCGTCAATTTGGACCCGCTCCATATGTCAAATGCAGGCGACTTTTCCTGGAGTTGAATTCTTAAGGATTTTATTCAGGTTTAAAAAGATGAAGGGAATTTCGTCGTCGTATGTCCACGTCCTCCATAAAACGTCAAATTAGGAGGTTTCACGTCGTAGTCGTGTAGTGGACGTCAAAGAAATGTACTAAAAAGCGTGATGCCTGTGCAAAGCTGTTATTTTGATTATAAACCTATTGTTTTTTTGAAGTCGTCGTCGTAGTTGCTTAAGCTCCCTAGTGAAAAACGGCAAATCGCCAGATCTGAGATCCTATCGCAGTCTCTTATTTATTTTTCGCTTGGGCTCCGCCCACGTCTCTCGCAGCTTCGCCGCTCGCCGCTCGCCCCTCGCGCCCGTCCTCGTTTCTCGTGCTTGCATTCTACCGTATCTCTAAAGAAAAATAAGACACCGCTCACAGTCTAAGTCTAGACGGGATTGAGGAACCCTGTTTGGGGGCCTCCTTACAGACGCAAGCTAAGGCGTAAAGAGTAGGTTAGTGCTCTTGGAAAACCAACATTATATTAACATTGAACGGTGATGAAAAAAAAATTCATATAAACAAGGCAAGAAGAAGTGGCCAGAAGACTGCACTTTGTCAGTTAAAGGGGAGAGTTTGACTATACTTTTGCATAGCGTAGGCAATAGATACATCAAAATCAACAAATAATCACCAGTTACAGAAAATAAATGAGACATAAAAGTACATGACAAGAATCTTAATCTGTGTTTCAATATCAATAGACAGAGCTTTTACTTGTTGATATCAGTCATTACACAAGACACTTTACAAAAACTGGATCAATGTTTCTTTAAAAAACACTTGTTTCTTCATTTGAAACACACTGAGAGGTCCTCGAAGAAAAATTAATTAGAACCATAGCCCACCGAGACAAAAATTCTTGTCGAGGTAATTTAAGAACGAGATACATGAACAAGTAACTTCCAGCCGCTTCCTTGCCTTTTAACTTTTATACTTCGGGCATTTCAATATTACAACCTTAATCTTTGACTTACTAGTAAAAATGAAATTAACCTTCCTTTTATAAGCGCACATCCACCTTTTCGTTAATATTAGGGGCCTCTTTAAAAGAAGCTGCACCAGTGTTACCGATACTGTTATCAGTCAAGTCCAATTTGTTCAGGGAGGAGAAGTTTTCTGCGAGGGCCTGAGAAAGACACGAAGCACCGGTGTCGCCAATAACGTTTCCACTTAAATCCAAATCAGTCAGAGAACAGTTTGCTGTGAAGATCGTGGAAAGGAAAAAAGCACCAACGTCACCAAAGCTGTTACCCCTTAAATTCAACTTAGTCATGGAGGAGTTAAATTTGAAAATGTCGGAAAGGAAATAAACACCAACGTCACTAATGCTGTTACCACGCAAATTCAAGATAGCCAAGGAGGAATTAAATTTAAGAGCGTTGGAAAGGGAAAAAGCACCAGCGTCACCAATGCTGTTACCATGCAAATCCACGTAAGTCAGGGAGGAGTTTACCGTGAGGGCCTCGGAAAGAGAAGAAGCACCAGCGTTACCGATACTGTTACCACGCAAATCCAAATGAGTCAGGGAGGAGTTTGCTTTGAGGGCCGTGGAAAGGAAAAAAGCACCAGCTTCACCAATACTGTTTAAAGCCAAACTGAGATAAGTCAGGGAGGAGTTAAATGCGAATGCGTTGAAAAGACAAGAAGCACCGGCGTCGCCAATACTGTTTAAACCCAAATCCAAATAAGTCAGGGATGAGTTTGCTATGAGGGCCTTGGAAAGAGAAGAAGCACCAGCGTCGCCAATACTGTTATCACGCAAATCCAAAAAAGTCAGGGATGAGTTTGCTGTTAGGGCTTCAGAAAGAGAAGAAGCACCGGCGTCACCAATACCGTTACGACTCAGACCCAAAAAAGTCAGCGAGGAGTTTGCTGTTAGGGCTTCAGAAAGAGAAGAAGAACCGTCGTCGCCAATACTGTCACCTTCCAAATCCAAAGAAGTCAGGAAGGAGTTTGCTTTGAGGGCCTGGGAAAGAGAATAAGCACCAATGTCCTCAATAAACTTGTTACCGCCCAAATTCAAAGCAGTCAGGGAGGAGTTTTTTGTGAGGGCTCTGGAAAGGGAAGAAGCACCGTCCGAGCTAACGCCGTTGAAACTGAAATCCAAATCAGTTAGGGAGGAGTTTTTTTCGAGGACCACGGAAATCACATTAGCACCAACATCCACTACTTCAGTGTAGGACAAATCCACTTCAGTGAGGGAGGACATGTCAAGGTGCATTCCAAAAGTATGCTCTGAGCAAGTCACGGGCTCATCTTCCCAAAGCCATTCTGCAAGGCTGAAATCGTATTCATGTAAACATGCACAAGCCAACGTCATATATGATTTGACTTTTTGGTGGGATGCACGGAAAAGACCACTGATATGCTCGGCCATACTAATAAAGATGGATTCTCCAGTGTCCTTGCTTTCTGATGCTATGATTCCACTCATGAAGAAGAAAACCTCTTTTAGTTCGTTAGAATATCTTTCATCGGTTAAAACGTTGACAAAGTCATTTTGTCTATTGATAATCTGAAAAGCAAGAAAAAATCCAGCAAAAAACTCCTGAAAACTTTTGTGTAAAAATGCACAGCGAGTGCAAGGTTTGCTCGTAGTGCCGACTTGTTGTAAAGACAAGAATCCAAAATTCATAAACTTGAAGTCTTCTTCCCCTTTTTCAAAGTACAACTCCCCCTTACAGAGGGAATCTAACGCGAATCTGCCCAAAAGCAAAAGATCTTCCCTATAAACTACCGTCAAGTCTTTACTGCTTTCAAGTCCATTTTTTTCTTCATATCTTCTTAAAACAAGAAGAGTGATTTCAATGTACAATCGGGTTCTGCTTCCTTCAAAAACAGCTTTGGAATGTTCGAAAATAGTACAGAGTAAAGCCATATTAAGTGGATTTTTCGTCAAATCGGCGAGGCGGTTTTCAGAAGGGCCGTCACGAAACGACGTCCGATACGGCCTAACTGCCAACTCTTCAATCAACTCCTCAGCTAAGTGATCTTTGTCTTGAAAATATTTTCTCATGAAGCTTTTCGAGTCCTCTTTGGTGAATCCTAAAATCTCCCACCAAGTGTCACAGTGTCTGTTTACTTTTTTTCCAACCTCATGACGCGAAGTAATGACAACGTAACAAGATGGGAGAAGTTTTCCCTGAGCAAGTGAGAGGAACAACTCTTCTTTATTGGGGTCTACCTCATCTAAACCATCAAGCAACAGCAGAACTTTGGACTGATTTTCCTTAATGTATTTGAAGAAAGTCTCCTTAGCCTTTTTGTCCATATCTTCAGAAAGAATTTGATCTTCAATAGCCTTCCAAATGCTAGATTTTATGTCATTGCATCTAAGCAAGAGCAGCACGTCAATCTCTGGAAAAGACTCGTCCCATTCACTTTGTTTGTTCGCCCAGTCATAAGCCAGTTTTTGTGAGTAGGTGGTTTTTCCCATGCCAGGATCCCCTTCAATCAAAACTTTACTTGGTTTCAAGCACTTCGGGTGGGGTCTAAAGATGCCTGTCAAGTTGGTGATTTCATCGTCGGTCAATGTTCCTCGTGTGGTTTCTTTGTTCACGATCTTCAATCGGGTAAAAATGTCATTCAGATTAAAATTAGGATAATCACACCAAGCGAATGGTGCTAGTTTTCCTTCACGGCCTTGGTAAAGCTGACGAATCTCTTTTATGATATTAGAAAGCACCGGCCCTACGAAGACAAAATACTACAAATTAGATCGATTTGGTTTTATTACAACGCCACACAGCACTCATAGTAACTGTTGCTGTTGGTTGTCACGACCTTGTTATCTCATGATAAACCGACCTAAGGGAGCCTCGACTGAAACGATTCACGCAAACACATCGTTAGTGTTTTGTGCTGTTACTTTTTAGTGAAAACGCAATTGATCTGAGCTTAGGGGGAAGTAAGGTCTCGATTTGTAAACAGAATTATGTACATTTGTCGATCAAGTTTATCTAACTCTTAAAGGACTCTTAAATGGCCTGAATTTCAGCCGTCTCCTCGAGTCGCAAACTCCCGAGAAAGACGTCTGAATCAACGAGCCGCTAAACCGTCCAGTGACGTCACTACCGAAAACCCGGTGGTGATTTTGATTATATTGGTTGATTGTCTAAACATTCGCATAATAATGTATGACTACGCTGCGAAATTTTAGCGGCACTGTCATTTGATAATCTTGACGTCTTTCTCGGGCGTTTGCGAATTCGAGGAGATAGCTTAAATTCAGGCTTACTCTTAAAACGTTAAACTCGTTGTTTCATGTGGCCGATTATGTTTCTCATGAATATGACGTTTTTTTGGCAATGAATATGGAACATTGGGGAAACGCATTTAAACGCAAATTCTCTTCTATCCCTGAATTTTAGTTATAACCAGCTAAACTGACAAACAACCGATACCTTGGTAATGAGGCCAAGTGCCAAAAACACAAGGATCGCTTAGTATGTGTGAGACAAGAGATGCTGCCATCGCACTAGCACAGGCTTCCCAACTTTCTGCATTCACTTGCTCACCATTCGCAAAATCAGAGACCCCTTTAACAATGAGCCACTCCAAATGAGTATCAAATGCAGCAGTGAAAACACCTGAAATATGGAACACATTTATATATTATTTTCTGTAAATTACCTCTTAATGATAGAAGAAACTAAAAGATCAGTTGCCTGGCGCATAGACTCATTAGCAATTATTTACTTTCTAATTTGGATCTAGTAGTATTTTTGACGATTAACCCTTCGACGACTGCTTCGGTCGTTTTCGTTCCATATGGAACGATGCATATTTTCCTTCCAGGACCATTTAGCTTTCAGTTTAAGTTGAATTGGCAAGGAAAAACGTCAGCAAAGATAGATCTTTCCAGCGATACCTTGGTGTGGATATTCTGACCAACCCTCAAAGGGTTACACTCACAAAAGAACTTAACATTTTAGGAAAATCCATTACCAATTTCGCTACCTACTACACTCTTTTGAAGCTTTAAATTTGTCCCTTTCCAGGGTTCAAAATAGCAGCCGGCACTTTGACCACAGTTGCCGGCGACTTTTCACCGCGGAAGAAATAGAAAATGTCATGCTTTGACCGGCCGACTGAAATCAAAGCCGGTCACTGTAATGTTGTAGTAAACATCTCATATCAGACAAAGCAGCCAAGAAACGTTTTAAAGACGTTTTAAAAACTTTTTGAAAATGTGTAGAAAGAGGAGAAAAAGGACAGGTTTGGAAATTTAAAGCGTGCTGCAAAAATTGAAAAGGAGAATTCTTGTTCACCGTGAACGACTAATTCTTTTACGCGTTTTTCAAAACGTGAAACATGCAAGCTATGTGCGAAATCTTTTTCAAATCACTTTATATTTTTAAGGTTTCTCAATGAAATTTCAAATAAAAAAGATCTTGATTTTGGTCACGTGCTAGGCAACGGGTTCTTGGCAGATTCCGTTAACTAGTGTAGCAGTACATGCACGCAGGTCGTGTGATAGGAAAGTGAAAAAAAATGCTTCGTAGAATGTGTTATTTTCGTGACACATGAATCACACACACGCGCCTCCCCCGGAGTTCTGCAATCATCATGATAATTACTGTCAGCAGAGGCCTGATTTAGCCTGGTTGAGCAAGGTACTTGCCAGTCAAAGCCTCTAGTAAACACCGCTCCTTACTGAAGCGGTTGTGTCAAAATAGCCTCCCTCCCTACCCCACTAGTTCTGCCCCCAAGGCCTGATCCACCCACCCACTGTTAGGGTAATCCATGGGTTATCCGCCTGTGCCGACCAAGACGCCAAGTCTGCTAAATTTTTGGAGACCGCACTGGCCTAGAACCAGGGTGTGCCTGGCGCCTGGCGAAAACCTAGTGACCACGTTTTAACGAAGCTCAGACAGATATAATTATATAGTAGATAAAGGACAAGTTAAATCAGTTATTGCTCTCTGTGTAAACACGTAACGCATTTTCACGTTTTGATCCAATACAACCACCAACTATGACCTAAAGTAATCAGATAATCTAAAGTAATCAGGCCATGGAGATATTCACTATAACTATAATATTTCTTCTCTCTTTAAATTTCTAGGTTTAGACCTATGTCAATGAACGAAGCCAAAAAGCACACGTGACGAGAACGCAGAGCAATGAAAGTCTATCAAACTAAGCCATGAAGGTAGGCGTTTGCGACGTGTTAGTACACCATTCTTTGGCACTGACAACGGCGAAGATATGGTCGAATTATAGCTTAGGGTCTTGTGCATGCGTACGCTTGAGGCGCTTTTAAAAGTGACATACGCTCACCTTCTCCCTCCATCTCTACACCTGTTGCGAGGGAATGACGGTCTAGAAGTTCTTTTCGCCTCCATTCTGCTCTGATCTGCTCTGGACCACTTAAGAACTCACCATTGTTATGAACGTTGATATGGCGATCTTCTGGGTTCTTCAATGGTGGTTGCCACCCATCAGCGCAATTCGTGATAATGTTAAGAAACCGTCTGCTCACGTAACTGCTAATACCAGCCCACTGCTCTTGGTCGCTTGTCACTACTTTGGATGCATATGTTGTTAGTTTGGCTGATACAACAACGTCACCTAACTTGGTTTTGTCAGGGTTGAGACCACTGCATGCTCCAACAGATATCACGGCCTTAGGTCGAAGAATAGGGGCGGCATTCTTAACGGCAGTCAGAGAGCCACCCGGACCGTTAGAACCTTGATGACACTTCATTAGTGCTACTTTCACTCGCCCCGGCTGACTTCCAACAACGTCCGCGAAGTAAACGTAACCAAGATCATCAAAATAACATCTAAAGGGATCTTTAAGCTCATTGTAACAAGCTAAGAACTCGCACTCCTTAACCGTTACTAAAAGAATATCAACAGGTAGATCTGGCTGTTTCGATGTTGTTGTAACATCTCTTATGGATAGAAGACCAGCAGCCAGCTGAGGTGGGCCAGCGTTGCTGTTATTTGAATCGTAGTTCGTCGCAGCTTCTGACATGTTCGTTTTTCTCATCTACATCGCACTGGAGACACAAAAAGGTAAAATAGTTTGAGATCTTATGTAGCGCCTTTATCAACCAAACAACTACCGAAATGACGCAAGGTACTATTAAAGAATACAAGGTATTCAGGTGAATGATTTTACTTGAACCGTGAAATAGGTGGTAGAATTTTTGTTTACATTTCGCTCTTTTGCACCATTTGTTAGCATCTGTTTCACGGATCAAGTAAAATCACTCTAGGTCTGCACAAAATATTTTTCCCCTAGGGAAAATTCTTTACCTACAATTATCAATCTCTGAATTAATTTCCTTTATACATTTATAAATTATAATAATAAAAAACTTCATTTGAGTTGAGCTGAGTTGGTATGCATTTAGCCCGAAAGTACTTATTGTAAACACTATTTTTACGTTTCCTACTGGAAACTTGAGGTGGTCATCCAAGTGAATCGAAGGACCAGCCGTTTGCAGGGAAAAGGCAGTACTCAGATGTCACGTGAGGCTTGAAATATATCACGCGATCAAGAAATTTACTTAAAATACACTTACAACTACATTAAATGTATTATAATGACTTGTAGCTTTTGTCTGTCGGTAAGTAAACCATCACGTTTCAGGTTTGAACGCGTTCCGAAGGTATGAGTCAACAATAGTGTATTGACAATTCACGGTCTAGCAGCCTCTGAAGCAGACGGGAAGATCTTGAAATATAAAAATCTCGCAATAAGTTACTTAAGTAGAAAGTAGAAAGTAATGTGAGAATTAGTCAATGCCCATTACAACACAAGTTGAACGTCAAACTAAAAGCACAAGAACCTAGTATTTCTCGCGTTAGGGTTCAGTGAAGTCAACGGATTTAAATAATTAACCCAGAAATAAATCGTATTTACTTTGCCAAGCTAACATGATGGTCTGAATGGGGTTGAACGACTAGCGACAAACGGCAAAAAATGTAACTGACTACTGACAAAACGAGAAAAAAAATTACTGACTACCGACAGGAAAAAAATTAGCCGACAACCGCCATGGTCCAACATTGTGGGTTAATTTCTATTAAAAAATAGATCGTATTTTGTTTATTAGTTTTTTTAATTTCCTATTTTGCCAAATGTATTTCGCTTGATTTGTTTCAGCAGATGGAAGGTCTTGTAGTCAGCTCTATTTCAGACAGGGCCCCGGTTGTTCAAACTTTGGATAGCGTTATCCACCGGATGAATCACTATCCAGCGGATAAGTATTGGGGAAACCGAATTGCACTATCCACTGGAAGGTGATTTAACCGGTACGGTGGATAGCGCTATCTAGCTTTTGAACAAATCAGGGGCACCCAACGTCAATTTTCGGAAAATATCTGTTTGGAAGACGATTTGAGATCTAGAATTTTCGGAACATTTGTTGTACAATTTCTTGCTTTCCTGCCTCTCCTAGGATTTTCGAACACCTAAAAAATGGTATAATTGCCAATTTTTAACGGATGTTTACCCTAAAAAGGTCACCTAGAATTTTCGGGAGCCTTTTTTCTGGCTGAAATTTTCGAAAAGGTAACTTTTGATCCCTACAATTTTCGGATTACTAGACTTTCAGCTAGGAAATCCGAACAGATGAAAAAGTTGTAGGGGATAAAAATATGCCTGTATCTACCGTTTAAATACTAAAATACGTTTAACAATGCTATGTTTAAGTGGTTTTGAACTATATTCTCTTTGGGTTCCAAATTCCAAATACCTGCAGAGATATTAATAAAAATATGAAAGTCGTCAATTTTTGCCTGAATTGAGGGAAGACAATAAGTCAAAAAAGAATTGACAATAAACTTGACTTCACATGTGGCAGACACTATCGTGCTTGGATTGGTCTCCTCGGCCACCTTCGAAATCACAGAACGTATTAAGTAACGGCGTCATGGGAGAAGTCGTGGTCATCGGAATTAAAACAAATTTCAATGTTGAATGTTTGGTGATTTTTTCAGTCTTTGCTAACAAAATTGAAACAAACGATCGCGTAGCTAAACAAACTAGACTTAAAATGAAGTTCCATTGCAATTAAAAAGATGAATTGACGATGAATGAAGAAGTTTTGTACTTGTTTAGAGTTTAAACTGTGTGAATTAAAAAACGAATATGAATGATTAACTCGCTTTGTTAATCATTTACCGAGATTTACCGACAACCGACAAAGACCGAAAATAATAATTGATAACCGATATGTGGACTCCCCCATTCAGACCCTCTAATGTAAACCGAACAGTTTAGCTTATTCATCGACCAGTCACTGGTTGAACATTTCAGAGAACGCGAATGTTCTTTAGGTTCATGGTCGGTTTATAATGCGTTTAGCATAAAGATTCAATAGCACGACATCGTGAGTGCTCCAAGGAAAGACCATCCCTCATTCAGCTACGTTTTACGTAATAGATTAAACAAAAAGTAAGAAGCAAACCTGCAAGCACGTCTCTACTTTGCCAAGCTTACGTGTCTTATGTAAATCGAACAGTTTAACTTTTTCATTGACCAGTCAATGGTTGAACATTTGAGAGATCGCGAATGTTCGTTAAGTTCATGGTCCGTGTATGATGCGTTTGGCACGACCGTATGAGTGCTCAAAGAAAAGACCATCTTCATTGAGTTACATTTTACGTAACAGATTAGACAGAAATTAAGAAACAAACCTGCAAGCACGGTCCACGGACTCCGGTAGAAACAGCGACTTTAAAAAGCTTAGATTAGTGATTGTGCTAAGAAACTGACAGGAGTTGACATTAGATCAAAAGCGGACGCCGAATTAGATTGGGTGTGTATAGCACAGCGACGTATAATGACGTCAGCTATCTAGCATCCAATCACAATTCTATAATAACAAAGGTCTGTAACTCTGTCGCAACACATACTGTCAATCAAGCCAAATTATACGAGTAATAAAGTTAATTATATTAACGAGAATTGTTGTGCGTGTTCCGGGTTTTTTGTATTATGCTTGACAATGGCTGGCCTGCAAGCAAGCTCTCCTAAGGTGGGGGAGCTTGCTCGCAGGCTAGACAATGCCATTTCTGTTTCACGGTCAGGGACATTAAAGGGCATCCAGTTAATTACCTTGTTTTCGGAAGGGTTGTACCAGCCGAATCGAGCCAACTGTATATGACGGAACACTCGGTATGTATGTATGACCGTAAATTATACGACGTTGTGTTAACGCTCAAATGGATTAATGAGAAGTTAATGGGAATTGTCCTGGGAAGGATGAATTGGGGTGAAGGGCGAGAAGTGAGAATAACGGTTAGGGAAGTCCGCCCTGAAGGCTACCGCATAGCGTTACTATCATGTTCATCACAGTATCGAGGCTTTATTAAGAAGACCAATACATACATTTACGATAACTTTGTAACCAAACGCACATGGCTCTTAATGCTCAACCGCATTTCCTCGAAAAAGTCACTGGTTTTCCATTTTTTCCCCAATGTTTTCTCTTCAGCCTCTAAAAACCGTGATTATGCACGAAGGAAGGGCGAAAGATTCGGAGGAGGGGAGCATTACTGTGTTATTCCAGCATGGCACCTCCTTTCACCTTCAAGCTTTTTGATGGAGGCCTTTCAAAAGCGGAACTTGGCGCAAGGAGGTGGTCAAAATACGTGAACCAATGATGATTCAACTTGACTAGAGGTAAGGAGAGCGCTATTAAAGACACCATCCACCTTTTGAGCCTCATAGGCAGATTTTTCGCCGGAAAATTTGAGATAAAACTTTACCTGTTACCCTCTAGTATGCTGTTGCAACATGCATGGAACGTCAGGCAACATTGAAGCCTTAAATTTACTTAGCTCTACTGATAAACAGGAGCATTCCAACCGACATTGATTCTCTTTAGGAAACGAGAAGGGGGACAGGGCGGAGGGGGTTGGGCTGAAAAAGACACTTCTCTATCTGATGACGCTAATAGAATAAAAACTCTGAATATTAAAAGAGCATAACTGTTTCAGTTACCTCTGAAAATTTGAACCCAATGCACCGAATGGTTTCGGACTCTCCTCTAAAAACTCGACATTTTTCAGAGAACGTATGGCTCATTAACTCATTAAGTGGAATACCAAAATACCTGAAATAAACTTTCCAATATACCGAAAATTATTCTACAACTCGTGTAAAATACCAAAATTAAGAAAAATACTGTATACTTTATACCCAAAATTGGTCGTGAGGGCCGGAATACTTTATACCCAATTTTAAGCATGGAAATACTGTATACCTGAAATTAAATACCCCAATAAACTGTATACCCAAAAACCCTGGCCAACCCTGATCAATGTCTTGGGGAATCAACATGGCGGACGTGGCGTCACTGTGAAAAGGCTCCACAGGTATGAGCCCTTAAAATTTTTAGCAGCAATCGAGAAGTAAGAGTAGCAACAATATAATGTTCCTTCTCCAAAACTTCTCTCGTGTGTCCAAAAAAAAACAAATCCCAATAATAATCTCCGAGTTGTCCTCACTAAGTATTAAGATGTGTGCATGAAAATTATGACGACCGGAAGAAGAGGACGGCAAAAAAGATGTGTGTGACAAACGTGACAGGGCTATCACTTGCGTGTTTTGTCGTCATCTTCATTTTACACTAATGTTTTAATTCCGGTAGTTTACAAGAAATTAAGACCTGTTCAAAGGAAGGTGGATTTTGGCGGAAGGTTTTTACAAACAAAATTATTGTCACGCCTGTCACAAAACGTCTGCCGTCTTCCTTTCTCTCCCGTCTTTTTGCGTAAGTTCACTGTGAATAACTTGATAGGTGCTATCATCATTACAAAAAGATAATGCATAAACAGAGTAAAAAAATGGATTTCTCTTATACTTACTACTACTACTACCACTACCACTACCACTACCACCACCACTACCACTACTACGGCAATATGAAAGCTTCTCGATTTCATTTAGACTACAAGTAGTCCCCATTTTTCCTCAGGTATAGTAGAGCGAGGGAAACTTGAGGGCGTGTGAAATCACCCCACCCGAGAAAGGCG